CACACACACACACACACACACACACACACACACACACTCAAAAGCTAAATTTTCTTTTTAAAGAAGTGAAAAGTTCTTTAAATGCTCAATTAAAATACATATTCAGTAGCAATAAAGTGGGCCCCAATCCTCAGCCCATATAAAATGTTGATGAAGCATCTCCCCTTGTGGCGCTGAATTCCTAAAGTGACCACACAGCGCTATCTGACTACTACCATTATCTTTTTTTGTAAACCCTCAACCATCCCCTGAAGAGCATAACTGGTCATGTGGCTCTTCTTCCTGTGGAACTAACAAATTCTGGGAATGAAAGAGCACAGTGGGTCTTACCATTATGCACTATGCGGTTATCTGTCAAAGGCACTTTTGCATTGTATTTATGTTGCCGTCCACTCCTCCCTCCGCATTCCAGTGTACACTACCAGCCATCCCTCCCTACCCCATACCTTGATCCCTCCGCAGTGGATTGGATGGTTGAACTGCATCGAGCATCAATGGAAATTCCCATTCTGATTTCATGCCAATTTATTTAGCCTTGAGCTTCGGTTAATTGCAGCCAAGCGCATGACTCTCAAACGGAGGAGTGCACACAAGAACAAAAGAATGTGTGTTGTGACTGAAAAATCAGCACTAACGTTTTCTACTCTTGCATTTGGAATTAATTTGTCTGTGTTTTAATGAAGCGCTTATCACTAGATCTGCTCACTGATATCATGGAATTGCATTTAAAGTACATTTAAAGGAGTCTTATGCTTTTAATTATTTTCTGTCTCATATATATGTAGTCATAATGACAAATGCTTATATTAAAAATAACACTTATTTAAAAAAATAATTTCAAATAATAAATAATAATCTTGGGTTTTGCGTAAGTAATCTTGACTCCTTTAAACACCCTGCTTCAGTTTTTTTTTTTTTCTTTTTCTACTCTTGTCTCAGTCAGACGCCAACAAGAAGGGATGTCTTAATATTGGCTAAAGGTGGCTCAAAAGGAGGGTAAACTAAAGAACTGCACCAAATCCAACTAACTGATTTCAAAATGATATCTTCTGGATATTATTTTGAATTGTGAACTGTGTTGTGATGTCACTCCAGCATAAATTAAAGGACTACTTGAAAAAAAGTTGGATTTTGGCCCAAAAGTTTATATAATTGTCTTTTTCATTTTATTTTGCCCCATTGTCTTTCTTTAATGCAGGTTTTTGTAAGTTTAAAATAGAATTTAAAAAAAAGAGTAAAACGTGAACCTTTCTTACCCAAATAGTCATCACAAGCACTTTTATTAAATTATTATTATTTTTTAGTTAAAGACAAATCTGTTTTTGAATTTCAAGGCTCCAATAGAGCGTAGTAAAAAGACTGAAGAGTTTAAATTCCAAGAAAACATATACCACTTTCAGAGTCAGAAATATTTTAATTGCCTTTAAAAGATGACACCTTTGAAAAACACACATTTTGAAAAAACAGAGATCACAAAAGATATAAATCATACAATAAACAACTTTGAAAGTCAAGTGTTTGGACACAAAAACAGACATCAAACTGATCAATATATACAGTTACTGTCGCATGTACAAAGAACCCTGTTAATATGCAGTACACTGGGCACATATCAGCTATTTCAGCAAAATACAAACGCCATGACCTTCTTTGAGTAAATCAGTATCAAAATTTTACAGACGCATCTATGTCTTATTAATGCACTGTTGTGTTGGCTGTGCCCGCTGTGAAATGTGTAGAAAAGCTAAACCAGCATAAAACAACAATATTTAGAACCACAGTTAATTGAATGAGTTCTTAACTGCTGCAGCAGTCTTACATATGTAATATATTTTTCTGTAGACAACATGCTTACTGAAAATTCAGTTTTCTGAAAGGTGTCTTGTTTGCATCATGACGGAAATTGGTTTCTCTGCAACTTCCAAAGGGCCAAATCACCTTTAGTCTAAACCCATAGCTGTCCACTGTATTCTCTTTCCTCCCCTAGTTACTCCGCATAGCAAGTAGTGTACAAGAAGACAAGTTAAAAAAGCATGAATATGTTTATTTGTGCAGATGAAGTTGGATGCTCTACAGGGTTTCACTATAGCTTAGGAATGAATAGGCTACAAAGGAGCTGTGAAACTGACTGCGACAGACAGTCGATCACTGTGTACTGAACAACAATTACACCACCAACCAATATACGATAAACAGGTAATACACGGATGTCTGTGCGTCACTTTCTGTAAAGCAAAAAGTTATTCATACAACTACACAAACACATAATACATGCATCTACAATCTTCTAATGGAATGTGGACTCGTTAAGTGCTGAGTTATAAAACATTATCAAATGAATGAATTGTCAAAAGGTGCAGAAAAGACCACAGAAGTTACTTTTGCTGTAAGCACAGAGCAGCTTGATTGTGAGAAGGCAGGATGTGCTACAGTTGAGTCTCAATTACATCAATCAGTTGCATCATATAAGCCATGTTGTAGGCACAGAATGCCTTGCGTTTGAACACTTGAACAGACGTCTTTAATGAAATGTAGATGTGTATAATTGCATCCATTTCTGCAAATGAATGCTTTTCGGCTGTTGATTGACTGCGATCGGTTATCTTCAAGGCATTCCACAGATTTTTTTTCCTTAATTTTAATCTCTGAGGTTTGGCAGTGCCTGTCAAGGATTCTTACATTCCACATCCGCGGGCCTTCCAGTTTTTGTCTTGAAAAAAATTGAATTTTTTTTCTGTCATTTGAAATTTGTTGCTCTGTAAAACATTACTGCTGCAATCTAAGATCTCTGGCACCCCGAATCTAATTCAGTATTTGCCTGTATTTGCTGCCATCCTTTTTTGCTTGCATCCCTACAAGACGTTCAGTCCTTGCTCTAGAAACTGACAGCCACAGCGCGAAGCAGTCAGCACAGTGTTGTCGTGCAGACGAAGTAAGAGCTGTGCATTCTACATGCAGCCCTGTCTGTTACAGCTGATGACATTATGTTAGCTTTCTTCTCATGACTCACTTCCGAGAGGCTTCTAATTGGTCACATCTTTGTTTTTAAAAATAAGAGCGCTTGTAGCCACATTCAACTTTTAAAATAATGTACGTGGCAATGCCAAACATCGGTACTTTTTAAAGGCACTATATTTACACAGTTCTGCATGCACAAAACGAGACAATGTATCTGTTGTAACATTAGTTGCATAATGAATTAATATTTTCATGAGACATTCACCAATAACCAAATCATATTGTTCCATTTGATAGAAAAGTCACTAAAGAAAAGAGGTTCATTTTACGCTGACTGTGGGTAAGGAAACATCTTAACAGACGGTCTTTTTTTAACTTACAAAAAAGCAAAAACCAAAACAAAGATATCCAGTCTGCATATTTGCTGTTGTAAAGAGCGGTGGGTTCTGCGTGGTGGTCTGCAAGCCAAACAAGGTCAATGTGCTGCTTAAGATGTCTAAATATTAAAGTATTAAAGTACAAAGTGAGCAGATGATGTTTCATTTAAAACGTTTTTTTCATGACTTTGCTGAAATTTCACACTACGCTATGCTTCACAACAATCACAGTACTGATCATGTTCGAGTGCTGGACAATAAAATTCACAGAAGGCTTGAAATGAATGTGAATCTTTCACCTTGTCTTTAACATGTTCTTGTCTCCTTCTGAAAACATACATCACACGTCAGAAACACTTTAACAATGGGTCAAATGAGCAGAATATACAGCTATGAGGGATTGTATTGTGGTGTCAGAGGCTTCAAATAAATCACTACTGTACTGGATTTATAATTTTTGTAATTTGTTTCTTTATACTTATTGAGGCATAACTAGAATATGGACACTTATATATAAGATTTACACTAATCAGTGCACAAAAAGTGAGATTTTTGTCAGTTCTTGTAGAAGTTTAGGCCTATGACTGTTCACTGGACTGGAATTTAGGCACCAAAGAAAACATCAATGAATCGAGGTAATTGATATGGAATTTGAATTTCCGGCAGTTCGGAAGTCTGCAAGTTCACTGGTCGGCCGTTTTGCCCAGAAAAGACTTTTACATGTTTTAGATTTCCTGAGCCATTAACGATTTAGACAATATATATCTTTCAAATCGTTTACTGTATGGCACTATGGTCCTTTATGCTACAGTCACTCTAACGAAAACGGTAGCTGGAGACTGCAGCACGGACAAAGATTTTTGCAGCTATGTTCAATGAAATTGTGATCTGGTTGCCTTTGAAATGGTCCCTTCAAATACAGTGACCAAATCTGCGACCGTTCGCAGTCGGTCGCTCTCTTTAAAGTACCTTTGGTGTGACTGCAATAAAACGGCATCAATCTGTTTGTGCTACGGCAATTAACTGCGGCATATCACATAGGGCTGTTCGATATAACGATATATATCGGATGACGATATGAAA